AAAAATTCAAAGAGACCAAACATGGTATCGGTGGGGTTATATTAAATAGTGATCTATCATAACACACACACGAAACAGTATACAATTCAAAAGACAATATAAAAGAACAGTAATGGTATACACAATGTCCTGAGGAGATGTGTGTTCATTCACAGAAAGTTTTTTCTATTAATTAATTAGAGAAGAGTCCATTTTTATGGACATTGTGTGTCTTTCCTAAGGGTAAATTAATTGAGAGTTGCTCTGCCCGCATTCCTTTGGGCAATAAAACCAGTGATATCAGCATTGGTTGCCATGGAACCAGAGGCCTGTTCTGCCTTTCTGAGGTGTTAGATGCATTTCGGGAGAAGGGTCCATAGACCCTCATAGTTGGTTTGTTGATTGAGGGGTGTTACAGAGTATTTGTTAAATATAACTGAACAAAATTGTGTGTCTGATTGGTCCAGATGCTACACAGGGAATCAGAACCACATACTCATATGCATTGTGCACAAAGATGTATAACTAAATCACAAACACACAACTAAACAAACACATACACACACACACACACACACACACACACACACACACACAAATAATGCATACGTGGTACATGGGAAGGGTAAGTGAGACTGGATGTATGAAACCGGACAGAAGCAGGGGGAATGAGGCAGAGTTGATCATCTGAAAGAACCGTCAGTCTCTAATTCAAAGCACAGAATACGATAGCTTACATCAAACCTCTGTCTGGTGAAAGGACGATACTTGCATTTGACTTGGCTGTGGAACGAGAGTCTTGTGAAGCCTCTAAAGAAGGTCTAGATCAGGGGTCTCCAACCTTATTTAATTCGGGAGCTACTTTTTAAAAATGAAAGCAGCTGAGAGCTACCAATGTTAATCAATACTTAAATCTTTTAAATAATGTATCAATCCAAACTGTTATACACAGCATTGTTAAAATGTGACGAATTGGGTTCTTGCTTAGAGAGACCAATCCACTTCGAGTGTAAACTAAACGAGCCAATGCACATTGGCATGTGATGATTGCATTGAGCTGCCGCTGATCGCAGCGCGAGTATAATTAGGCAGCAGGTGCAACGCATACTCAGCTTTTCGCTTCGGAGCCGAGCATTTGTATCGTATGCTCCTGACGTACACCAAATAAGACTCACAAACAGAGAGTATGACTGACACAACACAGAGCGCTTGCTGAATGACAGAAAGCTGACGCCGGTTCCACCGCACGTGCTTTTATAGCTTCCTGGTCATTACGTCACCCACCCGTGACGTCTCGTCCATCTATTGGACTGATTACACGTGATTCAGAGCGTGGTCACGCTGAAGGCGTTCCCATAGCGATCGATGCAGCCCGAGTTCCTGAAGGGGAACTCTAGTTTACGACATCCGGTTATCAAAAGTCTTGTGAGCAAATGTATGTGTTCTGTATGTGTTTTATGGCCTTCAGTGAGTTAATAATTTTAGTTTTTCACAAACCATGGATAAACGTTGTTTTCTCAAAAACACAAATATGTACATGTGTGCCCTGTTTTATTTAAAGAACAGGGATCTATCTTAATTTGAAGGTGAAATTAGAGTCCATCTGTTCAGAGTTGTTTTTAATCAGTGAGATGACTATCAGGTGTCAGCGTGTGCCCTGTTTTATTTGAAGAACAGGGATCTATCAAAGTCTGATCATGTTTGTGGAAGTGTATCATGGCATGAACAAAGGAGATCTCTGAGGACCTCAGAAAAAGAGTTCCTGTTGCTAATCAGGCTAGAAAAGGTTACAAAAATATCTCTAAAGAGTTTTTGACTCCACAAATCCACAGTCAGACAGATTTTATACAAATGGAGGAAATTCAAGACCACTGTTACCCTCCCCAGGAGTGATTGACCAACAAAGATCCCTCCAAAAGCAAGACGTGTAATCGTCTGCAACGTTGCAAAGGAACCCAGGGTAACTTCTAAGCAACTAAAGGTCTTTCTCACATTGGCTAATGTTAATGTTCAAGAGTCCACCATCAGGAGAACACTGAACAACCACGGTGTGCATGGTGAATCCAAAAAGAACATTGCTGCCAGTCTGCAGTTTGCTAAAGGTCATGCAGACAAGCCAGAGGGCTACTGGAGAAATGTTTTGTGGACAGATGAGACCAAAATATAACTTTTTGGTTTAAATGAGAAGTGTTATGTTTGAAGAAAAGAACACACTGCATTCCAGCATAAGAACCTTACCCCTGTGAAACACGTGAAACACTGTGGTGCTGGTATCATGGTCTGGGTCTGTTTTGCTGCATCTGGACCAGGACAGCTTGCCATCATTGATGGAACAATGAATTATAATTATGTCAGGACATCTGTCAGTGAACTAGTTCTCAAGAGAAAGTGGGTCATGCAGCAAGACAACTACCCCAAGCACACAAGTTGTTCTACCAAAGAATGGTTAAAGAAGAACAAAGGAAATGTTTCATAAAGGTCAAGTCAAAGTCCGGACCTTAAAGGGGTCATATGATGCGATTTTAAGTTTTCCTTTCTCTTTGGAGTGTTACAAGCTGATTGTGCATAGATAAGATCCCTGAAGTTGCAAAGACTAAAGTCTCAAAACCAAAGAGATATTCTTTATCAAAGTTAAGACTGCCACGCCCCCCTAAAACAGCTCGTTCTACTTGCGGTGTTCGGCCAATCACAATGCACTGGGTCAGCTGGCCAATCAGAGCAGACTGCGCTTGTCGGAAGGAGGGACTTTGCAGAAAACAAAGCGTTTGAGAGAGGCGGGGCATATAGGACCTACAATAATGTACAGTATTTTAAAAATAATGTGTTTTTTGAACATTAAAGCATGTCAACATATTCTGTTACACCAAATACACAAAATAATGATCTTTAAAAAAGCATCATATGACCCCTTTAATCCAATTGAAATTTTGTGGAAGGAGCTGAAGCAAGTAGTTAATAGGAGGAAACCCACCGACATCAGAGCTGAAGCGGTTCTGTACTCTGGAATGGTCTAAAACTCCTTCAAAATGTTGTGCAGGACAAGAAACATTACCTGCAGTTATTGTTGCAAAAGGGGTTCAGACCAGATACTGAAAGCAAAGATTCACATGCTTTTGCAGCTCACAGATATTTAACACTGGATAATTTTTCTCAATAAATAAATGGCAAAGAAAATATTTTTGTCTCCTTTGTTTGTTTGGGTTCTCTTTGTCTACTTTCAGGACTTGTGTGAAATTTTTATGTTTCACATATTTATGCAGAAATATAGAAAATTCTAAAGGGTTCACAAACTTTCAAGCAGCACTGTATGGATTCTAGCTCGGCCTCAGCATCCTCGTTGCACACTAATCTCATGATGGTAACTTCAACAAATAAAACTCCACAACCAACAATTAACAATGAATTAATCAATAGATTAAAAAAAATAAAGACAGTGTAACTAACAATAAACAGTACTGTAAACGGTAAACACAACTTACCTTGAGACATAATGAGCAGGCAGGACTTTTTTCTCTCATTGACATTAAATAACTGCCAGATTGTTTTTAAAGGCACAATATGTAGGTTTTCGCCACTAGAGGTCGCATTTTCAAAACAATAACAAAGGCAAAGCTTGATGACACTATAAAGGAGGATGTTCACAGATGAGGTAATGCATTTTTTTTAATTACCTGTACCTTTCACAGTTATTCAAACAGCGAATAAATTATACAGAGAATGCAAGCAAAGAATATTTACATTGTCAAAGAACACTATGACTGACTTAATTCTAGCGCGAGATTAAGCACTCTCAAAAAACTCCCCTTATAATCAGTAAAGCTGTCTATACCTGGTTTTATTAATGAATCTCTTACATCATATGTACATCTGCACTTTGTTGTTTATGATGAATTCGCGTGCGAGCTGAATTCAGTCAACGAGCGCGTGTACTGAACAAAAACTCATCTGAAAGCCTCTGATTGGCCATTGCAGCCATAAGCTCAGCAGACTCATGTGTGATTGGTTATAATGCGCAACACTGTAAAAACACGTAAAAAATCATGGCGCAACATAGAACAGATCTAAATTTAATGCTGTGGTCAACACTTTTCATTTTATTCGTGACAGCCGTAATGGATGCAGTTTAACTGTACAGCACCATCTGTGTCCGTGTGTTGCCGTAGTTTCTTCAAGCGGAAACTGAGGATATGCGGATATTATGTCATTGATTGGCGACAATGATCAGGGATGAGTCATTGTTTAAAATTAGAATTTCTCTGGACAAATCCTTGGGATTTTTTAGCATAACATAAATACACAGCTGCATGAAATATATCACACTGTGCAAGTAGTTTTTGGATATTTTATAATGAAAATCTTACATATCGTGCCTTTAAATGATGAGTGATATTACATTCCTTTTTTTTTTTTTTTTCCATAAGCAAGGGTACATTTAGGATTAATAAACTTCAGTATATCATGGATAATTGTCTATGATAGTACGTCATCCAACTGAAAGCATTCAGTAAAAGGTCTGGGTAGCTTTGTTGACAGCAAGTTATATTACTGTTATGCCAAAGAATCTTCAAATATTCTTGCTTTTTATTCATGTGCATACATCTGCTTATTTCCATTTGAGGTGCTACTTTTTAATTATTTTCTTCACTCTATTTTTTTCTTTGCAGACATATTGCTTAATACATCCACCTTATCATATTAAGTAATTTGAACATACACTTGAAATTATGAAAAAATAAAATAAAAATCATCAGTAATCATTATTTATTTAGGGTACACCAATGGCACAATATGCACCCATTAATTATGCAGACTGTTATCACATATTTATCTTGTCTATATTTGTATTTATGCATGTCTATACATAACCTGCTTTGCCACATATGCCTAAAAACACAATGAATTCTAAGAAATAAATTAAAATAAATATTGAAGTGTATTTCATATTTAAAATTTGCATTCAAAGAAAATGTTCACATCATTACAGTGGTTTTCTTGTATAAATATATGTAAATACATTAAAATCAGCTAGAATTAACTTTATTTCTGCATAGTTTTAACATTCTTTTTCTTATTTCCTTGACCTGTAAACCATATATTATGGGGTTTAATCCTGGTGGTATAACATGGAACATTACACTCCCAAACTTCCTATTTTCAGCATACTCAGAGAAGCGATGAAGAAAAATTGGGACAAAACCAGAGATAAGTAAGATTACATAAACAGTCAAATGAGTGCTGCAAGTTTTTATGGCTTTGCTGTTGGTCGCATTGTTTTTGCTTTTTAAACATACCATTGCTATTCTGAGATATGTCATTAACACCCACCCCAATGAAGAGATAAGTAAAACCACAGTAAAAGTTAATCCATATACATTATTAATCACTGTATTTTCACAAGACAGTTTAAAAAGTGAAGCATTATCACAAAAGTGGTTTGGAATAATTGATCTGCAGTGAGACAGACGCACACTGAGGCCAATCAAAATTCCCACTGGCAATATTGCAGCAGCCCAAGCTCCTGTTGACAGTTTAACCATCATTTTATTGGTCATTATAGTTGGGTATCGCAGAGGATTGCATATGGCCACATATCTGTCAAAGGCCATAATCATTAGAATAGTGTGGGAAGTTGTTCCATATAAATGTACAAAAAAAGCTTGGAAAACACACTCCACATATGTAATGTAGCGCTCAGAGGGGTCTGTTAATAAGTCCTTCAGTAAGCGTGGTATGAGGACAGTTGCTCCAATTACATCACTCACTGGTAAGTGACAGAAAAGAATGTGCATAGGCTGGTGTAAACTTTTTTCTGCTGAGATCTGAATCAAAATCCCAATGTTAGACACCATTGTAAAGACATAAGCAGTCAATAGAAAAATGAAGGTCAGTTGGCTGGACTGATGAGTAATTTGCAGTCCCTCCACTAAAAGTACACTGTATCTGAATGTCAGGTTGTCCATTTGAAACCTGAACTAAACATACAAATAAAGTGGTTATATTAACAGCATAATAACAGGAATTTTATCTTGTTTAGTATTTTACTCTAGCCTGCAGAACCCAAGAAATACCATCATTGTTCAATTATGTAATAAGTCAGAGTTTAGTACTGTGAAAGTCTGATAATATAAATAACTGAAATACCTACCAGGGTATTTGCCAGGGAAGATGGTTGTGATAGATGCAGAGTTGTCCCACCACTTTATATGGATTATAAATTGAATTATTGCACCCTCTCCTACTCACTGTGGCTTATTTATACTCACAATATTCAAGATCACAACCTGCTTACTCTGAATAATGTTTAGTTTGTTTGCCCATTTTTATGTCTTTCACAACAACTGCACTCTTTCCATCATACCTCAAGAGGGAAAATAATCTTATACCTCTCTTTTCTGTGATTGGTGCACTTCTGATGAGCTTTGTTTGCTGAGAACAAAGTTGGATCATTGCACTTAGAGACCCTTGGGTACACTGGGCTCTCTTTCCACCACCATCAGATGCCCTGTTTAAAACAACAAGGATGATTTTTTTCTAGTAGAAAAATGGTAGAACACTATTCTAAAAGTGTTTTTGTGTCAATATTTGAAAATTTACATAAATATGATTTATCGTGCAGCCCTATCTGAAGATAACTAACACTGAACTGACTTAGCTAAATAATAACACTATTGTCTTTTAGAGCTGCTTTACAGCAGCATCTGAACTGTCTCCATAGTTGAGTTTCCAAATTTGTTTCTGCTGTTTTACTCTTAATAATTGTGAATGTACATTACAAGAATGCAAAATGTATGTATGTATTTATGTGTTACAAAGTATCAAGGAGGGAGAGAGCAGAGGCTTGGACTCTTGGACAACTTGCATCAGTAGTATTTATTTACAAAAACAAAGAACTCAGGAATGCAAGATACAAAGATATCATTAACAGCAACAACAAGAAACTACCATTAGATACAAACACAAGTCATTATATTCTACATATGGGAAAACTAACAACCAAATAAAGACAAAGGGTAAGAACATAAACCATAATCAGACACCATGGAAACTAACTAGGATATAATCAAAAACCAAGGCAACTAAGGAAACGGTAACTAAAAATTCAGAAACAATGGGATGAGTCTTCCTGAGACCACCATCATGGGCTGGTGGAGGAAAAGACCATGGAGGAGCTGGTGAATCCGGCAAAGTGGGATGCCTTGACAGAGGCAAATAGAGTTGTTGACCCATGGAAAGCCTTAGACGGTGAAGTTGTAACGTCTACCAGAGAGGAGAAGTCTACCCGGATGAAACAGAAGACAAAAGAAGAAAAACTTGAGGCAATCAGCTGGTCGTTCCACAAGCCTTTATAGTTGTTTGCACCAGCATACTCTTCTCACACACATGTGAAAGAGTGAGTACAAAATAGGAAATATAACACACTGGTATCATAACAAACAAAAAGAAAAGAAGTTAGACACAGTAATGTGGTAGTCAGCAGTAGAGCAAACATCTCTCCTCACTCTCAACTCTCTCTGAACATGCACGCTCACGGCACAGCATTCAAACTTACCACAAAACAGATTTAAAGGGACATTAACATGAACAACATGGCTGTTACAAAGTCCAGAGCAGAGTCAGGGAGATGGAAGACCAAGGCAGAACCAGAGGGCTGGAGAACCAGGGTTATGGTACTGGACTGGAAAGCTGAGGTGAAGCCTGGAGATTCGAGGTCCAAGGTGGAACCTGAGGTTGAGAAGACCAATGTGGAGCTGGAGGGAATGACAATGACGGCGGTTCCAAAGGGATGGAGAAGTGGAAGGACTAGTGTACAGTGGAACCAGGAGGATGACAAACCAAGGTGGAGATGGTAGGATGAGGGACCCCGATAAAACCAGAGGCATGACAGGCCACAGTGGAGCCGATAGGTTGTGGTGGATCCAAAGTGTGACAAGTCCCAGGCTGTGTGCATAAGTCCTTCGACCGTAGATGATGCGGTTGGCTCAGAGACCGTGGTTGTGCCGGTGGAGCCTGAAGACTAGGAAGAGTCAGCAGAGCAGGAGGACAAGGAGAAGCCAAGGATCTGAACCAGTGGGGAAGGCAGAGCCAGAAGCCTGGACAGAACCAACAGAGTAGGCGGAGTGTTATGGCAACTTTAATATTTTGTTTCCATTTAGTATTGCCTTATTGTTGGCTCTGTCTGAACTTTGTTATTTATGTTAAATCATGATCATTATTTGTTTGAATTATTTAATTGTGCATTCATAAATATTCCTGTTTAATTGGTTCATTAATTTGTTATGTTGGCGCCCTCCTGTGGTGACACACATTTAAGCATTAACAGGAAATGTAATTGGGGAGAGCAAATCAGTTTTCAACAGCTGTGATCGTAATGTGCGTGCATGTTGTAACCAAAAACAATAGAAAATAAACTGTTAATTGGAAGGAGGAATGACTGGACTGCTTGTACTGCCTGTTGTTACTAACCCCCGAAGTTTGGAAGTCAGGTTTAGAGTTGGAGGCTTGGTAGGACTCGAGACTTCTTGCCTTTGAATATTTTAAAATCTCTTGAATGTGTAAATTGGCCTTTTTTTCAAGATGTAATATAAGTCTCATGTGTCCCTAGAATGTGTCTGTGAAGTTTCAGCTCAAAACACAACACAGATAATTTATCATACTATGCTAAAAAATGGCCATTTGTTTTGCAGCCGCAAAAACATGCTGTTTTTGTGCATTTACCTTTAACCCCTTCTCAAGCACCCCCCACCCCACCCCCCCCACACCATTTTGGCATGGAGACATAAATGACATACCCAAAATAAAAAGGTTGCTGCTCATGAGTCTTTCTGACAAGTTACATAATCAACATATGATTACAAAGCTGACACTTCAAAGTTTACTGTTCAAGAATCACAATTGCTCAGACTGTTATGTATATTGAGATATACAATATTAAGAACATATTTTTTAAATGTATAAAAAATATGTTGCTGTGGTAAATGCTTTTAGAAACACAATGAAGCTAAAGGCACAAGTCTACTAATGCTTCGTTTAAAATTTGAGGACATTATCTCTAAGACTGTGAATTTTATGAAACATTTTCTAAGACCATGTCATATATGTTTTTAGAGAAGGCTAATAAAAGGCTAATAAAATTAATTTATGGCCCCCTGTAAGCTCTCCTGCATGCTGTTGCCTCATGTCTGGTGCAGCGAACTGCCCCATTCATGATTCTATTGTTCAAACCTTTCACACCTCTGCCGCGTATGAGACATAATCCTCATTATTCCTTTATCATTATTCTTTTGTTTTTATTCAGCCAGTATTAGCCTTTATTGTGGCATTACAAGGTTTACCAAGCCACATCGCTTCAATCCCAGTATACATTTACCTACTACTATATAAACTACTATCAAAAGTATTTCTAAAAAATACAACAAAACATTTTCATACAACCTTATGCGAATGATTATGACAAAACACACTATAAAGAAGAATTGCACCTGTTCTGCAGCTGCATTACAGCTAACATTAGCATCAATATACATAAGACAATTTATGAGATTATTAGTACACTTTTACTCAAAACTGACTTTAAACCACCATCGAGTGTTTGTAATAACTTCCTATTCCGATTGCATATGGAATTTGGTAGTTTACTTTTGTTAAAATATGCTATTTATAGCCTTTTATATTGATGTACAAATTAGCATTTCAGATGTACACTATTGTACGTATGTGAAATTGTTATTATTATAACTATTATTATTGTAGTATACGATCTTACCAGCAAACATACACTCGTTTTCATCCTTCTCTCCACTCTCTGAGGCTGAAGTCTCTAAACTCATTCTTTCCAATCATCCTACTACTTCTCTGCTTGATCCTATTCCCTCTCATCTCCTTCAAGCCATTTCTCCTGCCGTTGTACCTACACTCACTCACATCGTCAACACATCCCTTCACACTGGTGTTTTTCCCTCAACATTTAAACAGGCTTGTATAACCCCACTTATTATGAAACCCACTCTTATCCCAACTATTTTAGTCACTATCTTAGTGACACTCGACGTCACTTCCTGTTTGTTGCTGCCGTGTGTTTTGAGTTTGAGGTCCGTCAAGTTAATTATTTATCGTCTATTTTTTATCTTAAAATCAATTTTATACACCATCATTTTCGTTTCTATAACATGTGAATATATCCCCGATCGTATTCTACAACAAAAACAATCAGAGTGCCTTGTTATCACTAGTTTTATTTTGATTTCCCGAGTCTGCTATTAGCATATAGCCCATTAGCATCGCCAGCGTGGTTGCCGCTAATCTCGCTTACATTGCTAATACTCTATTCACACACA